GACGACAAAAATTGTTAACGAAAACTCGACAAACAGCATTAACAAACGAAACAGCCCAGTGGACACAGCGTGTTTAATATTTATACGGCTTTGTAATGTGTGAGTTTGTCTCTGGTTTAAAGCGCGTCTACAACTTCGCTCGATCAGTCACAACATGAGAGTCTTGTGCGAGAGCAGAAAGGCTCATTATGGATTCATCATCTGGAATGTGTTCTGACATAGAAAACATATTTCGCTGTTACAGATCGGCCTCCTGAATACCTCGTGTGGACCCATAAATGAATCAGAGGACGAGAGCAACATGGAAGAGCTGGACCAACCGACTGACTTCAAAGACTTTCCTGCCCGGATCGACTGGAACGCCGAGCTTCCGGCCAACATTGCGGTGCCCAGAGTTGAGATTCACAGCCTGGTCCTGGACTTTGCCGCCGTCTCCTTCTTAGACATCTCTGGACTGAAGGGACTCAGAGCAGTGCGTTTGTATTCATGCAGCAGCAGCAGATGTTTCGCTCTGGCTCTGTTTAATTCATTTCTCTTTGCAGCTGCTGAAAGAGCTGATCCGAGTTGAGGTTGAGGTCTACATTGTGGCCTGTGACCGTAAGTACTAATGTATTGTCTGTATTAGTTTAGTAATCATGTTAGCCTACCATGCTAACCTAAACACGCCACATACTCAGCTGTATGTTTGTCTACCATATTTGGACCTTCTGCTGCAGCTTACATCCTGGAGAAACTCCATGATTGTAGCTTCTTTGATGATGAAGTTCAGTCTTCAATGTTCTACCTGACACTGCATGACGCCATGCTGCACATCCTGGAGAAACATCCGGAGCCTATTCCAAAAAAGTCTGATTATGAGAAGGTAAAGAAGAGCAACGAACACAATATTCAGGGAGTATTTGACATCTTACTGTTGGAAATATGTACACAATACTATTACACACATGTAGGGTTTTTACAGCATAAAGCACCTTGAGGCGACTGTGCTGTGACCATAAATACATTTTAAAAAAGAAACTAAATGGAATCTGACGTTCTTTATGTTGTTTTACAGATAATGACAGGAGTCACTATTCATCATCTGCCCGGCAATTTGAGGAGCAGAGACAGAAATGTAGGTATCAGTCTCAAACTGTGCTTTTCAGTGTTTGTGGTTTTTGAGAAATAACTTTCATCTATTTTACTGGTTACAATACAGAAGCCAAAAGCAGAAAAATAAAATCCGATGATTTATTTCCAACTTCTGAAACGAAAAAAACCTCCACAGAATTTTATTATTTCTTTAAACCTGATCATTTAAAAAAATATATATAAAAACTCATTTCAGCAGCCTGATGACCAAGACAAGTCTTTGATTTAATAACTGATAAGCTTTCTAACACATGCAGTCCCATGAAAAAGAAAGTTTCCACAGGACTATACAACTACTGTGAAAAACTAAGTACGCCCCAAAACTAATACACAGCCCGAAATAATAGGGGTCCTCAATTTGATGCTGCAAGATAAAGAAGAAAAATCATGGAGGACAACGGTCATGTGATCTGTCAGTGGAAACACATGGGGAAACAGCTGACACCAATGAACATAATGACGTCACAGTGGAAGAGAAAAACTAAACACAATGAACACAGGAACACAAGACCTCTCCAAAATAAAACAGGAAACATAATGAGACACAGAGATGACAACATGAACTTGAAAACACAAGACATGCAGACACGAAACACATGACGGGCAAGGGAGACGTAACAGAGGGGTGAAGACCCAGGAGGATCTAATAACAAAGAACTAGAATGACAACCTAATGATAGAAATTAAAGAAAAATTAAAGGACTTAAACATAAAAATAAACTCAAAACACTGGGTCACAATGGCCCAGGACTGTGACAGGAAGTCGCTTTGATGACAGATGAGATTGACTGAACGTGACTGAACGTCAGCTCCTTCTTCTCCCACAGGCTTCACCCACACAAACAAAGTTATAACTTCAGAGTGACGATGATGAGGACGACCAAAGACGAGGAAGATGAACCCTGTGTGTGTGCGTGTGTGTGTGTGTGTGTGTGTGTGTGTG